TATAAATATATATATATATTATTTATATTATATATATATGTTATTATTATTTTTGAAAGATTTAAACTATTCAAAGAAATATTAAAGTATTTATAAATAAAAGTACATTTATATTTTATAAAATATACTTTACTACTATTTTATTACTAAAATAAACTTTTTTATTGGATTTGATTAGGTTTTATAAGTATATATCATTATTATCCGATCTTATCATTATCCGATATGTTTTCATTAAATTATTTAGAGAAACTTATCATTGTAGTTGTTTCTATTTCATATACTCAAAGATAACTAACGTCAAAAAACATTTCTATAATATGAAAGAAACTTAAACTTTATAAATAATAACTATTAGTACTAGTAGATATTTTCCTATATATATATATATAATTAGATATAATGTAAACGCTCGAGAGCAATACGAGATCCTAATTATCAGATACTTCTGATTTCTAAAGATCTCACATAAATATAACAAGAAATCTGAAATTTTATTTTCAAATTAAAATATCTTTAATGATTTCTTATTACAATACTTTCATAAAAATTTAAATCCCAATTGTGATAAAAATATTAAAATTTAAAAATCTTTCCTACCTGATTGATGTCACTGCTCAAGTCTCGCGTACTTTTCGCGCTTCTCAGTTGATCACCTCGATATTCTTTATATCTGATCGTCACTTCGTCGTCTGTAAGGACGACTCCACTACTGCTTTTTACATTTTTCTTATTTTTCTCTTCCTTTGTTTTTTTCTCCTTTTTACTAAATAACTGCTTTACCTTGCTCATCGTACCGTTCTTCTTTGCTGCCTTTTTCTCATATTTTTTATCCGCGCCTGACGGTGGTTTCGTGATGATCGACGATGATTTTAACATATCGTTCGAATATTTATCGTATTTTCGTTGCTCGGGAAGTGTTAAATTCATATTACGATCAGTATGCCGTTTCTCATGTTTGATAAATTGTCTCGTAACAAAACTTTCGTCTTCCGATTCGATTTGTTCCCTTCGATCGACTTCTTGCGAGTCACGCCTGTAATCATTTTCGATTCCGGAATCGGCCAAACGATCCTTCCGATCAGAATCATTGAGCCGAGTTTCGCGATGTCTGTGTTCAGTATGAGTTCTGATATCTTGTTTGGTGTGTTTCAACTTGCCATTATCGTGATAAGTTCTCGGAGGTCTTGTTGGACTTTCGTCAAATGGTTTTAATCGTCCAATAGTCGTTTTCACGCGTAGACTTTCTTTGGCATCCGAATCGTCGAAATAATCCAATTGATTGCGAGATCTCCGTTTCTTTGAATCTTCGTCCAATTTTCGATGTTCCTTTCTCAATGTTCGTGAAATTTCGTCGTATCGAGTTTCGCAATGGATCGAATCCCTGGCCGTAGTATCGGAATCGTATCTGTTTGAATTGTAACCTCCACGATCTGTACATATTCTCGACGGAGAACTATCGTAATCATCGTGAATCGGGTGTTTGTTATTCGTATATCGTTGAGTAGTGCGTGTTTCTTTATAGTATTTTGATTCTAATTGGCTACTCGTCATTTGAGATATATCGGTATCGTAATCATCGTTTGGCCCCTCGCGTAAGCTATCCAAGTGTCTTTTCGTAAACGGTGATTGTTCTCTCCGCCCGTTTATAATGGGACTATCTAAAAGAGGTCGACGCATATCTTTAGTGTTTATATAATCTGCATGACTAGTTAAATTCTCGTGCGACCTAGTCATATATTCATTTTTTAGAGTTTTGATAGGCGAATTTTCACCTACTTCATCCAAACGTTGCGTGGATTTGCTCATACCACGGATTGACTCAAAATTCTTCTTCTTAGGGAGATACTCATCTCTCGATCGAATGTCTCTATCCAAAAAATCATTGCTTTTAGAGAATTTTCTTTCTGTCGTGAATTTCTTTGCGATTATAGGCGAAGAAAGAAAATTGTTTTCCCTGGATTCGGTTCGAAAATGATGAGTAACGGTGGTCTCTTCAGGTCGCAAATTAGATAACTTATAGGGACTAATTAAGTTTCTAGATGGCTGGTACCGATCTTCTGGACTGGTTCTATTCCTGTTACTAAGAAATGGTTTGAAATCGTCCGCATAACCCTCGTGCGTTCGCGTTTCAACGATATATCTATCTCCATATTTATCCGTTCTCGTTTCGACTGTATATCCATCTCGCGGTTTGGTGTCGATATATCTATCCGATGGAATTTTATTGGTAATCTTTTTTTCATATCCGTACACTTTACCATTATTTTCGTGGATTTCCTTTTCAAAAATATATTTTTCTCCATTGCTGTTGGTGCGTGTTTCTGTGATGTACGTATCCATGTAACGTTTAGGCGAGGCAACGCGATTAGGAGTGATTGGAGATGGAACGATCGGTTTGTCAATAATCTCATGCTCAGATTTCTTCAGCGTGTTCATGCTATTCTTCGCGGCGAACATTTCATCCGCAAGCAGTCTCGATTTGATTCTAGATTCAAGAAGATCACGTCTCGCGCTTAATTCGGATGTCTTATTCGATATTCCGTTCGGAATTTGTCTAGTAGAAAATTCGTTATCATCTCGTTGTCTAGCATCTGTACCATCGGCTCTACCACGACCGGAAGTATCTACGAATACTGTGGATGTATATTTTTCAGGTTTGTCATATAAACGTCTGTCGATATCGTTTAATTCGTGGCATTGTTTAGTATCCATGTTTCTACTTGCATAATCTTCTGTTCCAACGTAACGATTTTTACTGAAATGAGTATCATCATTTTTTCTATCTTCTTCGTATCTAGATTTAAACATATTGATTTCATTATTGCATCGTAGTTCATTATTATAAGAGAAATCCAATCTACAATATTCTTTCTCCGCTGGACTATTTTCACGCGACGAATCTTTCCTTTCAAGGCCAAGCCCCTCGTCGCTATCCGAATGACTTCTTTGCGCCTTTTTCTTTTCGGTCTGCACTTGAGCATAAATCACATTAGTTTGCGGAGATGGCGTATCACAACATTCATTCGGTTTAGTATAAGAGAATGGTCGATTGTTATTATGACCGAATCCTGGACCAGATGAGATCATTGTTTTGGTCAATTGCGGTGGTGGTGACCGATCGTTGGATAATCGATGAATCATCTTATGTATGGTTGATTCTTCAATAGATCTTTGTTGAAGATCGTATCGGCTGCTGTGCAGCATGCTATTCGTATCGATTTTATCTACTTCGTCGAATCCAGTGTTTTTTATGATTGGTAAAAGTATCGGGCCAGCAATTGTCTTTTCTTCTTCCTTTTGTTCTCTCTCTTCTTTACTTTTCTTATCATCCACTTCCAATTGGATAGGTATATGTCTTATAATTGCCTTATTTTCTCTTTTCGACGATATTAGTGGCTTTCCGATATTCACGTCTTTGTCTTTGATCTTTTCTCTCGATGTCAGTGTTTTTGTATGTTCCGTCACCTTTTCGATATCGGTGATTTCCTCTTGTTTCCACTTCTTTGGTTCCGGTCTATTTTCGTTTTCAATCTTTAAACCGAAATGAAAAGGTTGTTGATCAATGTGAGGCGATGCTTCGATAATAGGGGATAATTGCTTTTTCACTCGATTACTCTCCAAATGCGATCCTTCACTCTCGCTACCGCTTCTTTTGCGATGAGATCGTAAGTTGGCCGCGTCACTGACACTACGACTAATCGGCTTATGTTTCCTTTCTAACTTCGGAGAGAAAAATTTGGCCAATGGACTTCTTAACTTTTTCGTATTTGCATCGCTGATACTTCTCTCTAATGCTTTCTTCTTTATCTTTGGTGTATCGATAAGATCTGTATTGTTCGTGATTATTTCTTCGCTTTTTCGTCTTATATCGAGCGGTAGTTCCGGCCTTTTTTTATTACGACGCACTGGCAACGTGCTGAAACGACCTGGCAATCGTCTGTTGTCGTGGGCAACGCAATGAAGGCTGCCCGCTTGTTGAAGTACCAGCGCCGCCTCCTGGGCTAGATCCTCCTTACTCCTCAATGCTATGCTCTCCTTATGGATCGGGGTGGCGATCAACTTGCCTTCGCCATCTCCTACCAGAGCCGCGGTCACGCGGGATGCTCCACGTCCTGAAACAATTTAATTAAGTAGTTTAACCGAAAGTTTGTAATAAGTATAAATTAATATGGGAAAATAAATAAAGTTTTAAAATCATTACTATAGTATAATATAATATCATAAACTTTGTTATGATTCTGTAAAGTTCTATAGAAAAAGAGCAAAACTTTATTTTTATTAATTATTATTTCTCTTTTTATGCGTTATCCATTAGATTTATATTAGTTCTTTATTTATATATATTATTCATTAATAAGATTTTATTAGTAATATTAGAATCTTATAAAATTAAATAAAAAAATAAAATTATTACATATAATTAATTAATTTTTCAATTAATTTAATAATACTTGATAATTTAATAATACTTGGTAATTTAATAATATTTATTATTTTACATAATTTTATATCAATTTTATTTAATTAATATTTATCTGATCAATATGAAAAAAAGAATCTATCATTTCTAAAAATTGCTTCGATATTAGTATTAAATAATTTTTAGCTAAATTTAATTTTTTCTTAATATATTGAAAAAATTTATAGTAAAAATAAGGTTTGAAAATTGTTTTCAATCAAATATTATATTATTTAATATATATAAGATAATTAGATAATACTAGAATTAGATATTACGATATATTATATATCTAAAATAATTAAATAAAGTTCAAATAACAAAATAAACTTTCTAATCACATCTCATTAAATCACTAAAATAAAATTTTCGTGATTTTTATTAATTTTTAATTTTCTTAGCATTATGCGAATTATTAAAAAGAATGTTTCTTGTAGATTATTAAAAACGAGAAACAATAAATTAACAATAACTTAAGCAACCAAAAAACTAATGCATTCCTTTATAATCTATTAAAATTAATCTTATAATTTTCATATTAATCTATAGATAATCATTCAAATATTAATTATCATTTTCATAAGAATGCGTCAATAATTTCCACATCCATATAATTCTAATTACATTATGATTATGGTTTCACTAACAATCAATCGAACA